TGTGCAAATTGCTTTTCAAAATAATGCTTTCAGGGATCAGATGTATTTTCCCAGATTGCCAGTAAATGAATCTCTTATCATCCTGCTGGGTAGTTCCCTTCTGTTCACTTTTCTCTGGAAATTACCAGGGGCTGCTGTTTTGACAGGTGTGAGCCTCCCCTCCCAGCATCTCTGCCCTCCCCATTTCCGCCACACCCTGGGAAGTGCCTTTCAGCTAATAGCAGTTGCCTTCAGGGCAGAGGCCCTGTGCTCAGAACAACTGGTAGACAGGGAGGAGCAGGTTTATATTGAAGTGCTCTCCTGGCAAGTTCTGTTAGGGTTAAATGAGGCACACGCCAGACTGCCCCACCCCTGCAGTTTGGAGAATGCATAGGGGAGTCTGTTTAAATACATGCAGCACAAATTATACCTCACACGGAATACACAGAAAATGCAGTTTTATTTTGAAATTTTGCTTGAGGTCTTGCAGATCAAAGAACAGTGTGGGGCTGGGGATGTGGCTCAAGCAATAGCGTGCTCGCCTGGCATGCGTGCGGCCCAGGTTCGATCCTCAGCACCACATACCAACAAAGATGCTGTGTCCGCCGAGAACTAAAAAATAAATATTAAAAAAAAAGAACAGTGTGAATTCCAAAGTAACTCACTTCCTTATTAGGAATCCCAAAAGTGCGTTGTCAGGAGACCAGATGGAAATTCCTTGATAGGGTACTGGTTTGATAGGAGGTATCATATTTGGATTTTAATGGCTCTTGCTGGAAATCTGCTGGAAATTCTTTTATTAAATTTTCATTCAAAGAAGTACACATTTGGAGCCTGCTCAGCTTAGGTGCTGGGTGCTGGGGATGCTGGAGTGAACAGGCAGGCGGACATCATCGCTGGGAAGATGGGTCACACCCAGGAGTCTGTTGGGCTAGCCATTGCCATCAGGAGGTGGTGGTGGGCCTGGTGCAAAGGTTTTGGCAGAGTGGGCAGCAAGAGCAGAGGCTCAGGCAGGGAAGGGTGGACCTGGTGTGTGATTAGAACAGGGAGCAGGGAGGAGAGGATGGTGGGAGACCAAGTCCCAGGGGTGGGCAGGAGTTGTTGTTCTTATTTGAAGAGCTGGAAGAGTAGGTGGCAGCCTGTTGATCCCATGTCCTGATCAGAGTGTGGGAAAGTGAGAGGTCTTGGTGATTTAGGATTCCTATTCTGTAGGCTGGCACAGCATGGGGATGTGCACTGAGATGTAGGTGACAGGGATAGCAGTGCTTGCCCCACATACCAAGTGCACCAGGAGCTAAGTCGATCATCCAGCTCCCTCTTCTGGGACCATCCTGCAGAGAACTCTTGGTCCTTCCCTTGCCAGCCATCCGCTGAGAGTGGCTTAAGTTGTGAGAAGGAAGAGTATAGGCTTTGCTCCACAGTGGGCAGAGGCTGTCCCCACAGCTTGCAGGTTCAGTGAGGCGGGCTCAGGCAGGGGGTTTGGTAAAGACTGTCCACAGTGCTGCAGTGACAGAAAAACCCTAAAATGTCCAGATGTTCTCCAAGTGTCAGAAATGACCAGCATCCTGTGTCCTGACAGCCACCTTTCTGCTCATGACTGCTGGGGAGGTTCTCCCCAGGGGAGTCCCTCTTTCCAGGAGGGGTTACTGACTCCCCAGAGGCAGGCAGAGAGGGGCAGGCTCACAGACAGCTGCTCTGGTGGGACCAGGCAGCATGAGTCCAGGCTCGTTGGCACAAAGGCCAATGCACTGTCCCCTGCTCTGGGAGTTCAGAGGTGCACCAGAGGCCAATGCTCTGTCCCTTTCTCAGAGAGTTCAGAGGTGCACCAGAGGCCAACCTACTGTCCCTTGCTCGGGGAGCTCACGTCTGGGTGGAGGAGCCAAAACATAAGCCTGAACACAGCGGAGGGAGAATTCAATGTGCGGCTCCTGTCAGCTTAGTAAGTGCTGGCGTGGGCCTGGGGGCCTCCTTCCCAACTCCAGGCATGTTCCTCGAGTCCCATGTGTGCCTTTTGTCTTTTAGAAGAATTTGCTTGTGTGTGGTTTTTTTTTTTTTAAGTTTTATGATAGATCTGCACATGTACAGCCAAGTTAAAAATTTAGGAACTGGGTTGGGAGTGGTGATGCTGGCCTGTCATACCAGCTACTTGGCTAAAGCTGGAGGCTGTCTTGAACCTAAGAGTTCAAGGTCAGCCTGGGTAACATATCAGGATCTGTTTGGAAAAAAAAAAGACTAGATGACAACAACAACAACAATGAAAAAAGAACTATTTTATTAAATACTTGCAAATTTATTTTTTTCTTTTTTGGGGGAGCTACTGGGGATTGAATTTAGGGGCACTTGACACTGAGCCACATCCCTAGTCCTATTTTGTATTTTATTAGAGACAGAGTCTCACTGAGTTGCTTAGACCCTCTCTAAATTGCTGAGGCTGGCTTTGAACTTGTGATCCTCCTGCGTCAGCCTCCCCAGCCCAGCTGGGGTTACAGGTGTGCACCAAGACGGACAAGCAGGAGAAGGTCAAGCTCAACTTTGACATGACGGCCTCACCCAAGATCCGCATGAGCAAGCCCCTGCTGGGCGCCGGCGCAGGCTGCCTCATTTCACTTGTCAGACATGACATGCTCGCCCATGAGCACCAACTCCTTGGTGCACACGGGCTCCGATGTGGAACAGGACTCCCACAAGAAGGCCACCTCCAGCCACTTCAGCACCAGCGAGGAATCCATGGACTTCCTGGACAAGAGCATTGGTCAGCTCCAGGACGGGCGGGACAGGGGACCCGAGGCCACGTGGGCGAGGGAAAGGGCTCCCGTAGGGGAGAGGCTGGCTGCAAAATAAGGACCTTGAATGTAGAACCGAGGCCCAGACCAGAGGCGGGGCTGGACAGGCTCCTAGCGGTCAGTCACGGGATTGGTGGGAATAGTTTTCTGGTGGGCGGACTTCGGGCCAGAGCCTCTGGCCGCTGGTGCTTCACCAGAACCGGGTGGAAGGGTCAGCAGGGTTTGTCCCTAGTGGGTCAGGGTCAGCCCCTGCAGTGCTGTGCTGGAACTGGAGCCTAGAAGAAGCTGGGGAAGACACGCCCTGGGGAGGACACACGCTGGAGACCAGGCTTCTCCCACCAGCTGGTCCCCTATGGAAGTTCTGATACCAGGCTTGCCATCTGATGGCCCAACGTCGTTGCTGTAGGTTGCTGTAGTTCACGCTTTCTGTTCACCGATGGCTGCCTGCCCCACTTGGGCACCAGAGCCCGAACCCGTAGCCTCCGCAGGAACTGCAGGGTTATGCTTCCCTGCCTGCAAATTTTCAATGAGTGATTAGATGTGATCCTTGCTCTGTGTGACCTACAAATGAGATTAGTGTTTCCAAAAGGCTCACTAGAATTCATTCCTACACCTGAGTGGAGGTGGCCAGAAATTCTTTTAGAGTTCACTTCTAATGTCACTATCTCTTGGATTAATCACAGCAAACTCCCCATTATTTCAGACTAAACTATGTAGCAATTATGATGTCTGCTACATGGTAATTAACAATTGCAAATGGCAGAAATCAGGTTTTAACACATGAGACCTTTAACTTCCATAATAATGATAAAAATTAAGATGATAAAATTAATAGTTTTTGAAAATAACAGTTAACATTTGATCATCATTTTTAGACTTTCAAAGAACTTACATATCAATTATATCATTTTCTCTTTACAACTACTCTAAGAGAAAGGAAAGGTGTTATACTTCTGTTTTATACAACAGGAAAGTTAAGCAACTTAACAGATTATAAACATGCTAGTTACAGATTTTGGAATAGAATTACTTTTGTATAAATCAATATACAAAATAAATCCATTAGTCTTTGGCAAAAGTTAGCTCTGAAGAATGATGAAGATGTAACTTTCTATGCAAGTGATGGTTCTGTCATGTTTGTCTCCAAACAGTATTCTTAATTCATCTCCTTCTGATTTCTTTGTTCCTGCCACATCATAAGATATAGTCCTCTTCCAGCTGAGCTCCTCACAACTGATTCTTCCGTAAGATACCTAGAATGTTCACGTCAGTTCAGATTCAAGTATATATTTCCTATACTGCACATTTAGCTTTATAAAAAAACTACAAAGCTCTTTTTTCAAAGTGGTGATAATACTTTACATTTTTACCAGCAATGTGTAAAACTTGAGTGCAGAGTGCATCCTGTTGCTAAACTGTATTCTTTAATCCCTTTAATGTCTTTCTATTGCTTTTGGAACAAAACCATGTTGTTTCATGTTTTTTTCATTTCTTTCATGATCTCAGCTTTTAACTTTGCAACTTCTTAGCACTCTTCTTTGTGCGGATTTTTTTTTTTTTGCTTACTTTTGGTTTGGATGCACCTTATATTCTCTTATCTTAGTGCTATTGCTCATACTCTCCATTGCTTATAATTCTCCTGAGTCTGTGCCATATGAAAATCTTATAATCTTGGCCCTGGTATTAAGTGACATTTCTTTATAAACATATTTCAAAAAGTCAAGTCTACCCTCATCATTCTGTTTCCCTTTAATTGGTCCATTTCTACATTTTTTATTTGTTTATTATCAGAAAGTGAATTGGTCTAGCAGGGAACTGGCTACACGAGTTTGAACACCAGGTAAGAGATCTGAGATGGAATTCCAAAATGGAAAAAAGAAATCTCCATTCCAAATGAAACTTTGATTAAGAATTATCCACAAATAAGAAAAATAAAGAGCTACTCACGATAAAGCAAAATAACGTGTTCTTGTAACATCCCCTCAAGAGTTCTGCATAGTGTTCAAATTTAGTGCTCCACCCTAGAACATGACAGTCACAACAAAGAACCATCAACCATTAGATTAAGTACATTCCCAAGTTAAATGTCACTTTGGCGTCTTTTAGGCATTGCTCATTCAATTGTGAATATCATGTTTGCTATTTTGCTTTTTCATTAAATGTTCTCTGCACGTGGATATTTCTCAGTGTAAACACAATTTATGCACATAACAAACACTTGTAGAAGTGTACCTTATGCTATTGTCCAGAAAATAAAAATATGTATAAATGTACAAGAAAATTTCTATTATCATCATTTGCCTTAGAAGTAAAATTATAATAGATGTAATATTCTTGTTTGAAAAATTTAAATTTTATGTGAATTTATGTAAACACATGTTCAAGAATTTAAGGTCAGTAATATATTAGTGAAAAGTAAATAACTTCAATTTGGTGGTATTTTTATGTTTATATTTACGTGAAGTCAGTGAGAATCAATTTCTTCTTTTATCTGACCAACTAAATTTTGAAAATTTGATCTTAAGTAAAATGTTTATCATAATGAAACCAAAGGTTGGATTTTATGAAATACGAATTGCTGTATTTGTTGACTTTTTTTCCCCTTTCTTATTTCATCGATAGCACAACAGCAGTTATGGGCCTACATTTTTAGGGCAAGAAATAAAGTCTTATAATTGTAATTGCAAATTTCAGGAGTAACATATATTTTCATGGCCACACAAACCATTTGGTAAATTAAAACTTAAATCCTATCATGAAAGCTAAAGTTCCTACAGCTTCTTGGAGATAAAATTGCCATAATATTTTTGGCTTCATAAATTTTTTTGTGTGTGTGCTCATTAATACAAATAAGGCCAAAGATTTAAGAGTATGAGTTTCATTTTAAATGTGACTTAAACATAAAAACACAGTATTTTTAATAAACATTCTAGAAAAATACAACAGGACCATCACCATTAATTAGTTTGAAAACTAAGTTTGAGCTCATGTTTGGTACTCATGGAAATAATATCCATGCCAGGGTAAACTGTGGCAGCTCTATATTATTTGTTTTTTATTTAAACTTACAAAGTGTTAAGTGGAGTTGAAGGACAGGACCATGGCAAATGAGTGAAAAAAGATCTTAGAAAACTCACATATTATTATTACAAAAGAAACTTGGCTACCTAAGACCTTCATCATCAACAATTTACTCCTCAATATGTGCCTCTTTAATTTTCTTCATTGCTACAGCCAGAGTTTGTAACTTTACCATGTGTTTTGCATTTCTCTTCATTTCTTCTTAGCAGGAGCAAGTAGTATACCTAGAACACCAGCATTCTGAGAATATTAATTATAAAATGGAAATAAGGTAAGTTAATCCTCCCAGCTCTGCTTAACTTCAAGACAAAGAAACTTGAAACTTTCCAACTGTGAAAACTTCTAGACCATCCTCTTTAGATTTCTGAATGGGTTCCAGAAAGAAGGCTGGTAAGAGATTTTCTTCTACTTGACATATCATGGTAGTGAGCTTAGGTTATAAGCTCTCTGAAAATATTTGAGGAGTCATCGTGTTTGCCGCAGAGTACCTAAGCAGCCTGGCCTGATAACTTTCTTGGTTACAGTACATTTTCAATCCTGTGGATTTTTAGTGCTGTTGGATTAAACCTATGATCATGTTTTCCCCCTCAGTGTTGAAAGACTGGAATGAGGTGCACTGTTAATGTGTACTCATAATTCTTTCTCCCCAAACTGGAGGGTATGTGCTGAACGATGCCAAGCTCGTCACCCTCCTTGAAGAGCTGCATTTTCTAGAAATGAAAATTATGGTTAATTAAGCCTCATTGTCCTGTAATTTACTTAAACCCACAAGCAAATTATTTAAGGATCATTCTCATATTTCATAAAGCCAGTATCAATCCACTGGAAAAAAGGGAGGCTTTGTGATTGATGCTTTCCAAAACCAAAATAACATTTATGTAATCAGGCATAGCTAATTCGAACAATGTGAATGGAAATATCAACTGGATTTTTTTAAGGACAATATATCTGTGTGTATATCATTAAAATGGTTTGAAACAAAAAGAAATCTGTTATACATGTTCTGCTGCTGTTAGCAAATAGAAACATGTCTTAGAATTTTAAGGAAATTTTAAAGTGTCCTTGAAATTTTCATCAGTTTTTCAACATTCAATATGTCTTTTTAGAAAATAATTTAATTTTTTTCTGCCTTCTCATATACATGTCTTCCAAAGCTATTGTTATAATTTTGCAAACTTGTACTTAAATGACTAGAAAAGATTCCATGCTACTAATTAACTACATAGAATCCTTAATTTTTATCTTACATTATACACTGAATAAAAGGAACACAAATAAAATGGTTTTTTCATTTCGTTTCACAGTATACTTGTGTTATAATTAGGCAAAGTTTAAAGTTTAGTTGTTAACACCCACTGACTTTTTCATTTTAATTTTTAAATCCCATAATCTTATAATGCTTCTATTTTAAAGCAGGAGAAACCTCTCTAAACTGGACACCTCTTACAATTTAATACACATGATTTAAGAAAATCATTTACTTCTTAAGTTGTGAAAGTCATTTGTAATTTCCAATTGCACTACTCGGATCATTAACAGATAATGATACATAAACACACATTGTGTACTTTCCAAACACTTGAACCAGTTTATTTTTTCATTAGTAAAATGCCAACGTGTATCATATCTGCCAAGTCACCATCTCTGGAAATATCAGTGTTAGGCCAACTTCACCTCATAAAACTTTAACAAGAAATTGCAGAACTTGGCTGTCTTGAAATACCTGAGTGCTTTCTGGTTCCTTTTGCTGTAGTTTTCTGCTTTTGAATTATTTCTTGAAGACAGAATATGGATATTAATCATTCAACTTTAAAGATATATTAACAAATTTTATTATCACGTTTGTAACTTTCAAAGATTGTTTTATCTTACTACTAATTAATGGATACTGGATTGCAAAAGAATTTAAAATTGCACCCCATTCCTTGTAAGTGACAGATATAAAAATTTCAGCCTTCATTTAGGTGCTTGACATCAGAGTGGGTGTTATCATATGAAGAACTCTTGGGATAGGTTTAGATTAAATGGCAATAAAATGTAACAAAGTGTAACAACCCTTCCATATAAGATCCTTATGTAGTATGTTTGTCAGTTTAATAATGTAACTGAAGTAAATAAAGCTTAATACTTCCAGTATAATTCTTCCAAATGAAATTAGATTTATTTCTACTGTAGTTCCTTACAGATGCTTAAGCTAAGGGACCCTGCTTTTATTTAAAATAAAATTTTCTGAAGAGAGGGAATAACCCACCTGCTCTAATTCTCCTATTCCTCATGAATCTCTATCCTTAGGAATAATATGATTCTTCTCCTTGAATTGGTAGAATATATTGATAGAAATAATTAACCTGTCCTTCAAACTTGTCAAAGTTGCTCATTATTTTTTTTCTTTCTCAAACAAAATCTCAGTGAGCTTTTGTGGAAGTGGGGTTAAATATTGCATAAGGATAAATGGCATTTTACTGAAAGACTGAAACAGCAACATAAAACTGTAACTTCCTCTCCCCAGGAAAAAAGGTAAATATTCTGAAAAGTGGTCTCATCCCACACTTCTAGAGACACTATCAACAATTCCGTAGAAGAGTGGCTTTGCAGTTTTCATTCTCCTCTTTTTTTTTTGAATAGAGCCCAAAGAATTAACCAAAACACACGTCTACTCAGCTTAAGATCATATCTACCAGCCTTTCCCATATGTAAGCGTGAGTATATGACTAAGTATGGCTTCTGTATTATAAAGAGAAATAGCCTGTGATACTGAAGGCACATGTGCTTGAAAAGTAGGTGCTTCCTCTTCCTTCCTTTCCTCCTTCCTGTTGCCAGAAGCCCACCTTTGAAGAGGTAGACAAGTGCTAGCCACTAATCAAACTGAAGGTGCTGTGACCCTGGGTAATGAAGGCACACGAAGGAATGTCTTTAGATCTATTAGAGATGAGTACAGATTCTAATTTGCACAGTCAATATTTTTAATAGTGAAAAATGTCAAACCCAAAGTAAAGAGAAAACTTAACAAACACCCAGGTGTGCGCCACACAAAATTAGCAAAAATTAACCTATTTTTTTCTTAGAAGTAATGGTTGTGTTGAACTTGGTGTGTATTTATCCCATTTGTTTTTGTAAGTGTACTATAAATGCATACATTTGATGCAAATGATGTGTTTATTGCATTCAGTAGTTTTATATGACGTGTATTATTTTATACTTTAGAAATTTCAAATGTCCTCTTTCTACCTATTGGTGTGTTTAATTCACTTACTTTCATTATGTTTATGCATATAGTATTAATATTTTCACATTTTTATTTATTTATTTTATTTATTTTTGGAATGGAACCCAGGGATGTTTAACCACTGAGCCACATCAGCAGGCCCTTTTTATATTTCTTTAGAAACATGGTCTTGTTGAGTTGTAAGGGCCTCACTACATTGCTGAGGTTGGCTTTGAACTTGAGATCCTACTACTTCACCCTTTGAGCTGTTATGATTACATGCAAGTGCCACTGCACGGGGCCTATGATTTGATTTTTATTTCATCATACATCTTTTCTTTACTCATTTACAAGTTATGCCTTTTATATTCATTCTTTAGAGGTCAATTTCAAGTGAGATTTTGTTAATAAACTTTAGGTAAATTAAAAATTCTCTATTAGACTCTTTTATTTAATTGATTTTATTTTTTAAATAAATGACAGCAGAATGCATTACAATTCTTATTACACATATAGAGCACAATTATTCATATCTTTGTTATATAGAGTATGTACATGCCAATTCATGTCTTTATACATGTACTTTTTTTTTGCATTGCAATTCTTACCACACATATATGACACAATTTTTATATCTGTTTGTATATAAAGTAGGTTAACATCCAATTCGTGTCTTCATACATGAACTTTGAAAAAATCTTTATTAGACTCATGAATGATAAGAAAATACCATTTAAATATGGATTGTATAAGATTTACCTTGTTATCTCCTTTTTTATGAATAATACCTGATTAGTTTCCTTAAAAGGCTTTTAAAATTACTTTCTTTACCATTAATTCTTAGAGTGAACATCTTTTGAGTTAAATCTAATTTTTGCCTGAGTACACACTTTGTACTTATTGCCTTGGCCCAGTATAGTTCAGAGACCAGACACACTCTTTACTTAGCAGTCTCTCTACTAAAGGACATGCATGTGCACACACTCACACAAATTAAAAATAAGGTATTTCCTGAAAAATCAATGTGTCTACTAAGGAAGTGACCCTTAAAATCAATAATTTTATAGAAAATCTAAGTGATTTAGTTTATTGGTATAAATTTTTATTGAGTAATCATAAATTTTATAAAGAGAGTTTTTTTTGGAGACTTAAACTCATATGAACCAAATTTATCACATTGGATAGAAAAGGATTCCTAGGATATGTTTATAATAACAGAAACATGTCTCTAATAAAAGAGGAACAATGGAAAAATGGAGAAAGCATCAAAGAATTGATTCCAAAGGACAATATTCTGTTTCATATTTTCTTACAAATTAAGCTAAAATTCTCCAGCAGCATGTACCCAAATTTTCCACATTGCACTTTCATTTCATTGCATTCTTTTGATGACCCCTTTCTTTTATTTTAACATAAATGTTTATCCCACAAGTGCATCTCCCCTCTACATGCCTGAAATTCATAAATGCCTAACATTGTTCTGATGTCAACTTAATTCTATAATTGTTTTTTACTCATTTTTAGCATAGACCTTGTTAATGGATCATTCTGCATTTATTTGAATTGAAATTAATATAATTTTGTAGCAAATGTCATTCAAGCATTTCTGTTTGGGGACAACGACATGAATGCAAAGAGGTTTAAATATTTTCAGCTTTAAGATTACCATCAAGAGAGAAGAAAACTTTATTAATAATTCCAGATGAAAGATATAGAGTTATTAATGAAAAACAAACACAGCTTTCTGTCTGATTTTCAATATCCACGTTATGCAAAGCACACACAGTAGATATTACTTCCCATATGTCTGTTTACATTACCAAAGCAGCAGAGTTCACTGATTTTTCAACCTGTGAACTTTGAGAGCTTGCTTCTATGATGATTTTTAGCTTCATCTTTTTCAAAATCAAGTAATAGTTATATAAACTAGGAACCTGGGATCATTCTTGCT